TTCGGTACTTTGAATTTAATCCGTTAAACTCATGAATCCGGTGTAAGGGTATCCGTTATATCCATAGTTGACAGTACATATAAGTGCAGATCATTGGACATTTCACTTGACCGATATCGAAGATCAAAGCATTTATGCTGTCATCTGTAGAAAACGCCATTTTTTACTAAACGTTAAATTAAAGTTATTAACAATGTCGATTAAATATGTTATAGGTATAATATTTAATCTTTGAACATTGCTGATTTTGCCGTCAATCCATTTATCTTCATTAAAATATTTTTCCATTACATAGAACATATGGAAGATAATTTGCATGAATGGTGTACTTTAGAGTATTGTCATATATCAACCTTCATTCCTACTTCAAGTCTTTATTTCACAAATCTATCAAAAGCTGCTGAATCGACACTTTTAGATATTAAAACTCTTCAAGGAGCAAATTTCTTCACAGACCATATCATTGATTTGAATTTGAAAAAAGATAAAATTTGTCTTTTAGATCCATCTGCAAAAGACATTTTGAAACCTGAGGATGGAAATTATTTTGAGTATTTTTTATTTGGTGGAATTTTGGGCGATGATCCTCCGAGAGGTAATGATAGTTAATAATGAATTGAATTTCATTTAACTCAAAAGTGATTACAAAATTATTACTTATTAAGATAGGACATGTGAGTTGAGAAAGCACGGGTTTAAAACAAGGAGTCTGGGGGATTTGCAAATGACAACTGATACTGCCATAAATGTTACAAAAAGGGTTATAGAAGACAAAGGTTTGCTCATTTTATGTTTACCTAAATCAGGTTCACTTTCAACTATGTTTATCTTTTTTATGCTTTACAAGTTGCCATTGACCAGATTCCTTATATCGATTTTCCTGAGATAAAACTTAGTACAAAAGAATCAGTGGTAAATGCTTTTTTTAGCTTGTAAAAAAAAAAAACTTTATCTTCTCATCCAGAACTTTTTTTACTTCTGTATTTCGCTAGGTCATGCCATTTCGATACATTGCTGTTTCACATCCTAATAAGTCAACTTTACAAACAACAACAGACGAACTAAAACTAAACCTCGTACCATTATTACCCGAAGGAATGATTGAATTGTTAAAAAAAGATGGTGATATGGCGTTTGAATTTTAATAAAGTTTTAGCAAAGTTATTTATTTGCTCTTTTTATAAATAATTGATAATCGTTACAACACCTTAAAAAAAAAAAACCAAAACCAAAAAAAAACAAAAAGATTCCCAACGAAATATGCGTTTGAAAAGTGATCCTTTATCATATTAATCACTTACATTTCATATAAAGCTATCGTATTATGTGCTTATACTTTTGTTTTATACTGCGTGGGTGTAAAATAATTTTACTCGTACATACTAATCTTTATTAAAGATTAATCGACAAGAAAAACGAGATTAAAGTTACAGCATATTGTATATTTTCACATGATTCATATTAGCCATAAGTTATTCATAATGATGATAAACCAATATGAAAATGTTAAGCAGCATTAAAATTTATTTTTAACATCTGATTTTACTTTAGAAATGATTTTTCTCTACTGCTCCATGAAAAAATGTTGAATCCCAACATCGCAGAACGAAAAGATTGTAAAGGTGAAGAGAAAACCGATACTGAATTTTCATCAACTTGCTGCTCGACCATTTCAGTCTCCATAGAATCTTTTTCCATTTCA